CAAGTTGAAAGATTCACTGAAACTACAAAAGTCCAAAATTGAGATCGAAAGGAAAGATGAGCATCCTATCAGAAGACATCTGAGTTAGAAAGATGAACATCCTATCAGAAGACATCTGAGCAGTACGGAGGTGGTAGAAGTCCACAGAACGATCGATTTTCGCGTAGATATGCTGGCAGCTATGATGAAAGCTATGCTGGAAGTTATGCCGGAAGCTATGCTGGGAACTATGCTCAAAGCCATGACCCAGAAATGGAATATATCAGTAATTTGCCATATGGAAACGTTCTCACTCATCTTATCACTTTCGATGGTTCGAAAAATTTCAGAATCTTCATCCGAAATTTCCAACGGTTTGTTATCAATAACCCAACTTTCACGGATGATATGAAGTACAATCTCATGGAACAATACTTCGTTGGTCCTGCATCCAACTGTATCCAGCATCTTGATGATACAGCGGAAGCTGTGAAACAGACTTTTGTGGAACTGGAGTATCTCTATGGAGAAAAAGAAGACAGAATGTCACTTCATGAGAAACTGATTGATCTACCATTTCATCAAAGCGAGCTCAGTCAAATGCTAAGGGATCTGCAGGCCCACAGAGTCATCGTCAATTTGCTGAAAGAGCAAAAGTTGAATGTTGATGATAAAAGAACAATCTTACCAATCTGCAGAAAATTCCCGGAGCATATTATTGAAGGACTGATCCGTATTCTCCCAAGAGACACCAGAGATTGGACATTTGTGAAAGTTAACGAAGCAGTGATCGATACGATCAAGACACTGCAAAAGAAAAAGAAGGTCTGTGGTTCGCAATCCAACACTAGCCAGAATGGAGCTCCAAGAAAACATGCTTCTATTTTCATTGCGGATCGACAGTCATCTGATTCTACTTTCCAATGCAGCAATAGTAACCAACATGCAATAAATGAGTTCAGAGACAATGGAAATAGTGGACACAATGACAACCAAAACAAGAATCACAGAAAGGAAGGTCCAATGAATAAGGTCATCCGATTCTCGTTCCCATTCATTTGGCCTGAGCAGAGAAACACATGCAAAACCTGCAATGGTCCACATCATTCTATTCGTTGTCCACTACCAAGCTGAAAATTCAGAAGAATGTCTAAAGACAAAAATTTATGCGAATTGTGCTTGAAGGAAGGACATTCAGTTCAACAGTGTAGCAGTACTTTCCGTTGTGGATACTGTAGAGGCCGTCACCATATGGGAGGTTGTAAAGAGAAAGAGTACTACAGAGACGTCATCAACTATCCAGCTTCGGCTGGACCAATCGTCGGCCAAGAGTTGGAAGAAACATTTTTTCGCGGCCCATCTCAATACCACCATGAATTCTCTCTCCGAGACTGGCGCAGAAACCATAAAATTTATCCGCGTGCCACAATCCCTCTCAATCAATCTTAATCGCTCTCTTAATCACACTGTTTGTTCTACTAATTTTTACAACACTCCACATTTTGTCTTCCCTCTCATTTATAATCTATCTGTTGGCGAAATTGTCTGTAACTCCATGGTTACCTATTCTGATGAACCCAACAAAAATTCCGTATATCTAGAACATCTAAGTCATAGCATCAGTGATATCAGAAATATCTTTTCTGAAACAACATCATTCATCATTGGTTGTTATTCATCAGTGAGTCCATCTCTCTCGGTTCTAGAATATATGGTAATAATTGTTGGCAGATTTGGAACTACAGTAATCACTTCTTTAAATGCTGCGAAAGAACTTGCACAAAACCATCAACATCAGCCAGCACTCAGCCTACAAATGTCAAATACATATACAATTCAACATTACCATTCAGAAGCTAAAAAATTTTCTAATTATTCTCCTTCGGAGATCAGGCAGTACAGTGCGTTTCAATATTATACGTCCACTCTTGTTTTTGGCCGTAACTTGAGAACCGGTTGAGATATCAATCTAATTTTATTAAAATTGAATTCAGAGCAACAAATTACATCTAGAAAACCATTTTTGAGAAAAAATATTGAAAACTACTCGAGATACAGAGAAAAATCTGAAAATGTGACATTTGCAACCGTTTCAAAATTATACGTCCACTCTCAGAATCAATGCTAAAATAGAGAATAAAAAATATTTCAATACTTTGTGGATGAACCTTTACCAGCAATGACATCGAAGAGACGATTTGGCATCGATTTGATAAGGTTTTGGATGTATTGGGTGCTCTTAGTCTTGAACTCCTGCTCCAGCAGACTCCACTCAGCAATCAGCGCATCCCGAAGCTCTCCAATACTAGCATACTTCTTTCCATGGCGGTAAAGACGACGAACCAGCTCGCCCCAAACATTTTCCATCGGATTCAGATCTGGAGAGCAAGCTGGCCATGGCAAGACATCGATGTTTTTCGATTGGAACCAGTCCAAAGTGGAGCGGCTGACATGGATTGCAGCATTATCTTGCTGAAAAATGAACTGGCGGCGACTGAATCGACGACGAAACGGGATAAGGTGGTTCTGGAGAACGTCTTGGTAGTCTGTGGAGTTCATTCGACAAGTGGTGAAAGCGAGCTCCAAGTATCCAGCCGAAGCAAATGCTCCCCATACCATCAAACTGCCTCCCCCGAAATTCCTTTTGGCAAAAACGGCTGGATCCTTCCGCAAGTCGTGCCAGTACGATTTGAATCCGTCGGGTCCATCAAGATTGAATTTTTTCTCGTCCGAAAAAATTACCTGTAAAAGATAAGATAATTTGGATAGATAATTTTAAATTTAATACCTTATCCCAGTTGGTTCCCATGTTTTTTCGAGCGAAGTCGAGACGGCGAGTTTTGTGATTGTCAGTGAGCTTCGGAGCAGGGCGCATGACTGCTCTTTTGATGTTTGGATCATCCTTAAGAGCCCTCCAGATTGTACACTTGCTCACTCCAAGATTCAGCTCTTTTTTGATATCATTACAGACTTCATGGTGTTTGAAGCCACACGAACGATTGATCGTTTGGCTCTTGAATTGAGTTTTGGAGGACGTCCAGCCTTGTTGGGTTGATTGTTGCGGGTCCGGTTCGATACAAAACGATTAATGCAATCGTGGGAACGATTTAGATGTTTCGCGATAGCCCTGTTGGTCCAACCAGAGGTTTTGAACGCGTCGATGAAGGCTTTTTCAGCATCAGTGAGCAAATGGCCACGAGACATGTTGAAAAGTGGAGAAAAACAAGGAAAAGCATAATGAAAAAAGTTTCTCACACTGGCAGCAAAAAACAAAACTAAATTCAAGCTTTTCCGGCTCCGCCAAAGGTCAAGATCGACATACCTTTGAAGTGGACGTATAATTTTGAAACGGTTGCAAATGTCACATTTTCAGATTTTTCTCTGTATCTCGAGTAGTTTTCAATATTTTTTCTCAAAAATGGTTTTCTAGATGTAATTTGTTGCTCTGAATTCAATTTTAATAAAATTAGATTGATATCTCAACCGGTTCTCAAGTTACGGCCAAAAACAAGAGTGGACGTATAATATTGAAACGCACTGTATATTGACAAAAACAAATTGTTCAGGCTCACTATAACATTTTTCTGTATCGTAACTCCAAAATACAAGACTAAATATGGAGAAAATCCATCAACTATTGTGAAACGTAAGGGAAAGTGGTCCACAAGAGCAGTATGCAAGTCCATCTTGTTCGAAACAAGATTTAATCTTAACAAACAATGTTCCAATGAACTATCTAGCAACCACAAAGGTCCCATCTCCGAATCAAGGTCTACTATCCATCTCATGAGCCATGACCTCAACACTGTTAACCTTCCTACATATCACAATGAGTTACAATATTCGGAAACATATACAGAAAATATTATATTCAATGCTGAGCTCCAAATTATCGGAAAACCAAGTTTCATGTTAATACCATCATCCCAGGAAAATAGTGATCAGAATCCAGGAAAGAACTCTGACCGAGAAATGACAGTAATACAACACCCAAGAAAGACTCGCTCTTTCCCAGAAGCCTAAAAGCCAACTGTCGTCCTGACATAGATGTTCTAGATATACGGAATTTTCGTTGGGTTCATCAGAATTTCCCAGAAGCCTAAAAGCCAACTGTCGTCCAACTGTCGTCAAAAATCCGGGTTCCCCGCAGATAATTGTCAACCTGAAAGCAGAGTAACTCAGGGTCTACCGATTTTCCCCGCAAAATCCCCCTGAATTACTTGCTTTGATTATTCATTCACTATTTTCCCTTATTTTCGATATTATTCTGTGAAATTATTCTTTCTTGCATTCATTCAATGCGAATATTCATATTTGAATTACCACTCCTTTTACCCTTTTAAAGGCGCACCCACGTGGCGACCCGCGACGCCAGCCGACAGGCGCCGCGCACTCTCCGCGCGCGCAGTCATCTTTTGCGTCCGGGCACCGCTTTGCCGCCGGTAGCACCAAGGACTTTTTAGGCAATTTTACTTCCAGATTTTTTCCCCTTTTGTACGTTTGGCTATCAGAGGTTTGACCAGCTCCAGTTTCGTGAGTCCGCAAAATTTCCTGGCGGCTCCGCCGTCAGGTTTTAGCCCTACACCATTATTCCCCCCTTTTTCTGTTCTTGCTGGTATTTCCCCTTTGATTGTCTTTACCGTTTGTCTTGGCCCCATCCTTTTCTCTCTAATAAATGGGTCAATGATACTTTGTGTACTGTTTTGTATTTGCACCGCTTATCTCATACACACTTTCAGGTTTTTAGGGCGCGCTACAGGCGCGCGAGCACTCTCGGATTAGGACATAGGATCGGTCTCGACTGAGGATCCGCTGTCAACATAGTATCCCAACCTAGACGTGCATTTTGAGCTGAATGGTGTCTGTTCCTTCAAAAGATAGCTAAATGTTGTCAACGATAAAACGTTTCTGGTGAAATTACCAACTTTTTAGTTCAGACATTGTATCAACAAAATTTTATCAGTTGGCAAGCTTTTGATATCTCTCATAGAAACCAAGATAAATAAGCTCAAAGTGCACTAATGGGGTGAGCTTCTATTAACGGATTTACGCTATTTTATAAGGAAAAAAATTACCCAAATGATGGAGATTTCGTTTAAAAAGAAATAAAATCAATGAATTCCAGATTCCGTCTCCGGAAAGTGAACAGATCTCTCAGAAGCTACATCACTCGGACTCAACCGAAAATCCGTTTATACAATTTTCAATTCATGATGTCTGCAACGTGTTTCGCGTTACATCTAGACGAGAAGTCAGAAAACCCAGAACAAACTCGTACTATAATCAGATTGGGACATTACAAAAGAGGTGTTGAGGATATGGAACGTTTTCTTCGCGAGCTGTGTGAAATCTTGCGATACGTCAAAACAGAAATTGACTTATTCCAAGTGGAGTACGGATATGACTGTTTTAAAAACAATAAAATGTTCGAGCGACTGGGAATCAAACTCAGGAGAAGAAAACAACAATTAAAAGTTGCTAGCGTGACTTTACGTCATGCTGATATGCTTCCATTCAAAATTATTCTTCCAATTATGAAACCAGAATCTTTGAAAAAAATTAAATTCAAATATTTTGGAGGCAACGGGAGAATACGATTTGGAGGCAACGGAAGAGTACAAAATTACGTTTCGCCGCAAGCATTCGCAGTTTCTGAATTGGATCAGTGGAAAAAAGCCGATAAATTAGAAATTGACGAGGCCTACATTCTTGAATCAATTTTGCTATTCTGCAGTATTTCCACAGCTTGCTGCTGTCTATATTCTGTGCCAGCGGGTGATCTTATCCAACAAAAAGAGGTATTTTGCTATAAATCAATCCTAAAAATAATTCAAACATTCCAGAGTTTCATTGGAGACTCCACAAAAAACAAGTTCACGATTTATTATAAAGTGTTCCCCGAAGAAGAATTTTTTGTGACAACTGTAGGACCTTGGATAGTATCAAAGCTAAACACTATGGATGTCTACTACCGGACGGAAATTCGTGATGAGGTTGTCGTGATTCGTCGCCTTCCACGATACGGCAGTCTGATTTTTGCCCGGGTCAATAGATCAGATGTTCCCCTTGCATCCATTATAAAGTATTGAATGTGTTCTATGAAGTTTCGCAATGCGATTTTTTCAAAACTTGTTATTTTATCAAAAAATTGATATCAAAGTCTCTGTTCTTATAGGTTCCATGTTAAATATCAATAACAAGGGAACCACAACACCTCGTCACCTCAGATTTTGATGAAAATTTCAGGATATGTCCAGAATAGCCTATCTAAACATCCCTGAAAGATTTAGTACACGCTCGCCAGTTTCAGCCGAGATATTTCAGTCCAAAGTTTTAGTACTGAATTCAGTGGATTTGCATGCTTTACCACACGCTTCCTCTCCAAATTCCCTACGAGAGAACCTTGTAGAGGGCTTCATATGTAACCACATTTCGAATCTGTTGAAAATTTCGGCAGCGTGGTGTAGAGGATTTGGTGTGTGCCAGTGATCACCAAGTTGTTGGTTCGCACCCTCTTGTGTTTTTTCTTTTTTTCTTTTTTTGTGCCTTTGTAGGATTCTTCTAGTATATGCTAGTCTTTATTAACTCCGAGATTAATTTAAATTTGAAAAAATTTCAATAATTAAAAAATTGAAGTCCACTACCACTGGAAAGTAGCAGTTTTTAAGAGTTGTTTTAGTGTCTATAGAGACCATAATTTGATAATGAAAAGAATTTGATAAAGAAATAAGTTATCTATCAGTTTTATCATAATATTTTCAAATGATAATTTCCACTTTTTCGAAGAAATTTTTCTAAAAGACAAAAGTTGGATAAAATCTCGCACCCAAGTGGTAGACAAAATTCTCAAAAATTGTGTAATTTTTTTTTTCGAGAAACAAAAATACCATGTTCTAAAACGTCCTAGAAGTTGAAAAAATGGTCTCTTAAAATCGCAGTATTTGCACCGAAAAAACAATGTTTGGTACTGAAACTGATATAACTCGGTTGAAACTGGCGAGCGTGTTCTAAAAATTTTTAGGGATGTCTAAATAGGCTATCCTTTACCCATCCTGAAATTTTCATAAAAATCTGAGGCAACAAGGTGTTGTGTTTCCCTTGTTAGAGATATTCATATCATCAATATTTTTAATCCTCTCGAAAAACCTGCTTTTTCAGCATTTTTACAAATGAATGTTTTTTGTATTCTTAAAAATGTATTTTCAAAATAATTTTTTTCAATTCAGCAAGATATAATTTGAGAGTTATTCTTGATTTACATCTGCTTCTTCACGTGAATTACAATGAGTTCTTTTTTGGTCTTAAAGAAAAAAAAAAGTGATGTGAAAAATGAGTGAGAAACTTCTGCAAAATATTATGAAAAAAGGTAGAAGAAACTGCAAACTTGGTTCAATTGTGTTTTTAATATTTCTTCTTGGCCCCTATGCAAGATATCAGTACGATTAAACTGATAGAATGTTTGCAATATATGATAACCAATTTCCTAGTTGACAACTTTTTATATCTTGGGCAGAAACTGAGATAAGTTGACTGAATATTAAAAGTTAGGGGCTTTTTTACAGGTTTACGGTATATTCGAGGTTTAATAGTGATTTTCGAACATCGATTCAATTGATTTAAACATTATTTTTAATCACACATTTCTGTGGAACTCTACAAATCAAACTGTTTTAACATTTAAAAATGATTAATATGCTGCTTCGGTTCACGGAAAAAATATACCTTTTGGAATAAGGAACAGCAATATTTGAAAATTAAAAAAATGGAAAAATAATCACGATTCTAATTGTTTAAAAAAATACAAACAAGTGATCAAATAATAAATTTTTCACCATTATATAAAAAACATATTCACATTCTCAATATCTTGTATAAGAACAAATGAAAATCAGATCAAATCAGCAAATGAAAATCAGCTCAAATGTGGCAGTGTGGGAGTTTTTCTATTACAGGGTTTACGCTGAATTAAACCATAAGGAGGCCAGGCAAGAGAGAATTTTTGTCATTCGATGAGAAAGTCAAGATTGGAAGCTAACTCTATTCTCTTGACCTATGCACTTTTTTCCCACCGCCTGTGTTCGTCAACTTTGACTGCTTCACAATACACGCCCGAGCACAATATTGAGCCAATTTTCATACAATGCTGCTTCATTATCTCATGATATTCTTTCTGGTTGTTTTTTCTGGTTTTCCAAAACGTCAGAGTTCCAGATTTCTCCAATTTTTGGGGTTTGTAGAAAAAATTAAGAAAATTTAAAAACCGAGTTCTTGGAAATTCATTGAAACTGTTTCTTCTCGAAACAATGATAAATTTGAAAAGAACAAGGAGAAAAAGCTGACATTAGGAGAAAAAACAATAATTTAAACTAGAGAACGGAATCCCAGGTTTTATTCTTCTCAGTAATGATTCTAGTCAAAACCCGATTCAAAGCTGATTCCACTTCTCATTTTTCTTTTCAATTTTTGAATTTGCTTAATGTCACCTTGGTTTCAAAAATTTTTTCAATGAATTTAATAAATATAAACACATTTTTTTCTGATCTGAAAAAGCGATTGCTCATTGATTCTTTAAAACCCTGATTTCTATTCCCGGAATATAAATTATTCATGTACTAACATGGAATGACTCCCAAGGGTTGTCCTCGAAAACCATCGAGACGTATTTGGTTAGAAAGAGCGTAGAAGTTTTTGACAGACTCGTTTCCTAAAACGTAACTAGACCATTTTCAATGACATTTAGTCTTCCATTCAACAGATAATTCACTATTTAGAAAACTTATAAAACGTTGGCTAGTCTCATAAAGTATTATTTTACAAAAGTACATTTGACAACAACACTTATTGTCAAACAAGGAATCTTTTCATTCAGATTCGAAAAACAAAATATTTAATATTTTGTGCACCCTTGTCCGTAGTATTGTTTGACCAGACGGGCTGCAGATCCGATTGGTATGTCGGTTTTGATCTGAAAACAATTCATTTTTTAAATGTTTAATCAAATATCTGAAACTCAATTTAACTGAAGCATCGAGAAGATTTTCATAAAAATAAAATTCAGCTTCCAATAAAAACACTGTTAAAAACATAACACAGATCTTCAATCAAACAATGATCTTGCATTTTTTAGATGGAACAGGATATATTTAGGTAAGTTTCAGAAAAATAGTCACTAAATTAGGGGCCTCCATACACGAGGTGCCAACATCGGGGAATCAAATAAAAATGAGGTGTGAACGATCATGAAAAAAACAAGGAGGCATAAGGATTAGAATATGTGAGCAGGTGGGAAAGAGAGCTAAGTGAGGACGAGAGAAGCAGGTAAATGAAGTTATTAAATGTCATGTGGACTCTAAATGAATTTCAAAATTAGAATATGTATAAGGGTTTTCAGGAATCAGGTGATACTGAGCTTACGTAGAATGACTCCCAAGTGTTGCCCTCGAAAACCATCGAGACGTATTTGGTTAGAAAGAGCGTAAAAAGTTATTTAAGAATCCGAAACGGATAGTTGATACAACATTTTTTGGGGAGTTATGGCCCAAAAAGTACCAAAAAATGGCTAAATTTTTAAAAAATCATAACTTTGTCAGTTTATGTTCGGTTGCTAAAATTCAAAAAACAGTTGATAGACAAACAACTAAACTTTTAAATAAAATGTTTTTATTTTTTCCTATTGATTGGATATTGATTTTTGAAAAAACCGAAAATGGTTTCAATATCTCAAAAATCCCAAGTTAATTGTTTTATTATTACCATGGAATTCAGCACATTTGATTTACTATAGAAACATGTCAATACCTCGGGGGAAATCATGCTCACACAAGTTATGCCAAAAAATATCGATTGTTCTTTTTAAAAAATAATCAGAATGCCAAAATCTTGTGTTCGGCTTGAACAAAATTTAGACTTACAAGGGAAGTGTTTTCAGAAAGGCGTCGAGAATTCGCTCAAAATTTCAGTTCTGATAGTTTGAGATATCCGCAACACGATGACGAAAAAATCTAGGTCATAACCCCACCAGGAAGCTGAAAAACTTCGTCTGAAAATTCTGCCCGATTTGGGCGCGCACTTTCCCCCCTCTCCTATACGCCCTCCGCGCCAGAGGAAAATGTCGGTTGTGTGGTGTAGCGGTAAGAGGGTAACTCATTAGGTGAGACTCCACTGGTTCGAACCCCACTGTGGTTAACATTTTTTTGGGTTTTCTTCATGTTTTTCTAACAATCAGAAGTTATCAGTAGAGCATGGATTTGTATTTCAACTTGCAGAAAGTTCTGGAAGCAGCAGAAAATTGCTATAAAAGGCGATTTTTTTTTCATTTGTTCCTGTTTTTCTATTTTTTTTTCTTCGTATTCATAGCTATTATTTGTCTAGCTGATGTCGAAGTTTCGTCGCATTTTGACATACATTCTGGATCTGGGAGTCAATCCTAAGCGTCAGCCATTGGATGAAGAGGATCTCAAGCTCGCGGCTTATTTGATTGACCTCGGTGAATCGATCGATAAGGGAGACTTTGGTATTGAAATGGAACAGCACCTTTCAAATTTTGAAGACGATCTACAGGATTTGAGTAAGTTTCAGTTCAGTGAATCATTACATATAAATATGTTACGGTTAGGTTGGACTCCAGAGGACGATAAATGCCACAAAATCCAAATGTATCCCGATGTTGTTCATCTTCCTGGAAAACCAAATGTATGTCAAAATACGACGAAACTTCGACATCAGCTAGACAAATAATAGCTATGAATACGAAGAAAAAAAATAGAAAAACAGGAACAAATGAAAAAAAAATCGCCTTTTATAGCAATTTTCTGCTGCTTCCAGAACTTTCTGCAAGTTGAAATACAAATCCATGCTCTACTGATAACTTCTGATTGTTAGAAAAACATGAAAAAAAAACCCAAAAAAAATGTTAACCACAGTGGGGTTCGAACCAGTGGAGTCTCACCTAATGAGTTACCCTCTAACCGCTACACCACACAACCGACATTTTCCACTGGCGCGGAGGGCGTATAGGAGAGGGGGGAAAGTGCGCGCCCAAATCGGGCAGAATTTTCAGACGAAGTTTTTCAGCTTCCTGGTGGGGTTATGACCTAGATTTTTTCGTCATCGTGTTGCGGATATCTCAAACTATCAGTACTGAAATTTTGAGCGAATTCTCAACGCCTTTCTGAAAACACTTCCCTTGTTAGAATCTAGAAATAAAAATATTTACGATTATTGCTGCCTGACACCAATTTTTGCGAAGTGTGACATGTCATAGGGCACATCTATAGTTAAACTTCATGAAAACAGTCTAACTTTTTTAAAAACATTATCAGAAGACAAAATCTTGTGTTCGGTTTAAACAGAAGTTCAAATTAGGCCCTAGAAATAAAAATATTCACTGACGATGGGACACTTTTGTTTTGGACCATAACTCGAGAATGAGCAAAAATTTTAAAAAACTGTGAACGCCATTCGATTCAAAATCAAAAAATACTATTGTAAAATAAATATTAGT